CATATATATACATGCATATATATACATATATATGCAAATCTGGATTATACAAACTGGTATATATACACATTTTAAAATGCTAAACTAAAATATTTTCTTTTAAAAACCCTTTTCACTAGTACCCAAACACCATCTAAAATATGAATAAATTGCAGGCCTATATTATAGTGTGTATGTTAGTTTAAATTACAGTATGTCTTTAGTTTAATCTGTTGAATAGTATGTAATTATCATTAATCAATAAACATTTGTTGTGTCTGGGTATCGTACTATGATCTGGGAAACAGTAAAGAATTTGGCAATGAGAAATACCAATAAAAGAACTGAGAAACAGAAGAATGAGGAGTAAGTAGGAGGGGGCTGGTGAAGGGAGAGGGAGGGTGGGGAAAGGGAAAAGAGAGACTTCCACACCTGTTTTCAAAGCTAAATTCCAACTAAACACATAACTTAGTACAATGCAAAATTAATAATAGAAATAGCTTCCTTTGTTGTCTAGTATGTACCAACATAGCACATAGTACGTTGTGGTAGGCGCTTCACATATTTTTATTTCTCGTAACAATCCTGCAAAGTAGGGATTATTATTCCCACTTCATGAACTGAGTAAATAAAATGATGAAATTTAAGTAATGAGTCTACAATTAAACCACTGTAAGTGCTAAATCAGTATTAAATTCTAAGAGAGTGAGTGTTGGGTGATGATAAAGTGACCATGATTTCCAGTTAAACATGGCAAATTCAAAATGTGCATTTCCCCCTATTTCCTCTCCAAACACCAGTACAATGATAGTAGAGACATTTAAAGACCTTCAAACCTTTGAAAAAAAGAGAACCAAAGAAGAACAAAGATCTTAACAAATTTGGAAGCCGGAAAGCAGATGGTTAAGTGGCAATTAACTTGAGTAGACCACAAAAAGCTGGAAACTAAGTGCTTACAGGGATGGGGTGGGGTCCCAGTAAGGCTCAGAAAATGCAGGTATCAGATATCTCAAGGGCAGGGATCACGGCATGTGGTACAAAGTGAAGTTGCAAAGAGAGGACTATCTGAGAAATTCCCAGATTTTTTGTTCCCCTCTCCAGGGAGAGATTTGGAAGATTCCACTCTGGGAGAAGAGACTGGCTTGGCAGAACAGAACCACAGGTACTGACGTTGGGGGCATCTCTCATGAAATGGCTGGGCCTTGCCTGGTCGTTCTAGAACAAAGCCTAGCTCTCTGGTGACATCTTCTACCATGTCCCATACTGAACCAGAGTAGAAGCAACACCTCCTTATGAGAAAGAACTGGACTTGACTGGTTACTTAACCAAAAAAGTTAAAACAAAGACTCCTAGAAAATTATAAATACCAAACTTAGACACTAGTTATTCTCACCAGTTCATTCACCACATTTTTGTTGGAATGCCAATGCATTTCCTTGGCAGAAGTATCCATTGACTGGAATTGAACTTTGTGTTTCTGTCACAAACCACATCGCTAATATATCCTTTCTAGTTTGTTTCTTTAAAACAGATTGGAAAGTTAAAGACACATTTGAAATGAAATGTGTACAGAATCCTTTAAGATTTTAAAAAATTCACTCCAGCTCCTCTTATTTATAGTGATTTTGTCTACACCTAATTAGCACTTGAAAAAGTTAGTGACCTTTTGGCAAGCCTTTCCAAAGTGAAAGGCTTCAACTTTGAGTGTTTTATAGAAAGTCTTCTAGTACTCAGATTTTGATTTATAAGAATATTAAATTATGGAAATACAATAACAAGTACACAGGCATAAATTGGTTTAGAAACAACCATGACTTTTAGAGAACATTTTCTGCCTCCTTGGCCTGAGTTACATGCCCCTTCTCAAAATCCCCCATCATGATGTCATGAGCAATAGGAGACAGACTGATTCCATAGATTAGACTGGCAGGTAGGCCATGGTGAGGAATTTGAAATTGATTCTACAAACCATGAGAAGTAACTGGAGGATCTAAGGGAGGAAAGTGGTATCATGAGTGTTTTTAAAAGATCCTTCTAACAATGGTGTGGAAAACATTTTGGAGGAGAAAGAGAGGAAGCGGGGAAACAGAACCTGTACGACATTGGTAAGAAGATTTGGAGTATATTTTGGAGATAGAGGTGTCAAGATTTGCTGATGGATTGGATAGAGAGAGTAGAGAGTTTGGGGATGACTCCTAGGTTATCAAAACTTGAGGGGGAATAGAAGTGGCATTTATTGAAAAGATAGGTTTGAAGGGAGAAAATGAACGATTCTATTCTAGCCATCGTAAGTTTGAAAGGAGATGAGCTATCCAAGAAAGGATGTTAGGTGGGTGGCTAGATAGGAGTTCAGAGTTCAGCAGAAAGGCCAGAGCTAGAGAGAGAAATTTGTTCTAGTTCTTTTGACTTCAACCTTAAACTTCTGTTCCTTGATTCACCCGTTTAGGATAGTATCTTGAAAACTCATGTTAAATAAGATATTAGCACCTTTCTCTTATACTTCCCATCTTCTATCAACTGGATATGTGCTTTTCTTGGTAAGGCTAATAACACAATTCTGTTCTATAACCACATTTAGTATTTCCATATTCTGTCTATATGATGCTAAAAGCTGAAAACTATGAAATAGTGTTTATGATATAATTATGTGAATTTTGTTCACTTAAGGGCCAAATATTGAACTAGGACTACATTTCTTTCTCAGTGCGTTCCATACCTGGTGCCACTTGAAAAAGAATGGTTGTAGTATCGGTGTGAAATAAATCCTCTTTCCTAAGGAAAAAACTCTTTTCCCCTGAAAACTTTGAAGACCTAAATTCTGTTGTGCTTTTGCATCAGTGCTGCTTAATTCCATACTTATTTCTTAGATGGTGACTTATTTTTCTTTCTCTTTATGGGAACTGATAGAATCTTCTTTTTATAGTTGTTGCTTTTCAATTTCATAACGGTGTATAGTTTGTATCTTTTTCCTCTTCACACTTGGAAGCACTCTCTAGACTCTTCCAATGCTTCTCTTTTATATGGGGAAATTTTCCTAGTCTAGAGGCTGTGTAGAATACTGGTAGAATACAGAATTATAGGTAGATTGAGTTCAAATAGCAGTTATTTGCTATGTAACCTTCGACAAGTTATCTAAACCCTGTGCTTGCTTTCTTCTCTGAAAATTGAGAGTATTAATAATATTACCATACTAATATATTCCAGAGGGCTGGTATGAGAATTGAATGAGGAAATATTTAGAAAGTTCCATAAAGTGCCTGGCAAATAGGACGTGCTCAATGAATATTATGTGTTGATAATTATCTCCACTTTCATTTTTTATTCTTTGCTTTTCTGGAGCTCCAGAAAAGTTGGACCTCCCAGACTGATACTCCATTTTACTTTTATTCTCTCATATTTTTCTTATTTTGTTGTTGTTGCTGTTGTTGTTTTATGCTCTGTGATATTCCTTGACTTTACCCTGTAAACATTAAGAGAATAATTTTGCATAATTGTACTTTGGCTGTCCATTCTTAAACTAAGACTAGGATAGGAGATCAACTTGAATTACAAAAAAATAACTGGTGTGGTAGTTGACATCTGTCTTAGACATTGGGCTCAACTAGTCTTAATGTTGGCATAGAGTAGAGTGTTCACGACTGGAGTGGTTATTTAAAAGACAGACTTTTGGGGTTCCTGGGTGGCTGAGTTGATTAAGTATCCAACTTAGGCTCATGTCATGATCTCACAGTTTGTGGATTTGAGCCCCGCGTCAGGCTCTGTGTAGATAGCACAGAGCCTCGGAGCCTGCTTCGGATTCTGTGTCTCCCTCTCTCTCTGCTCCTCTCACACTCATGCTCTGTCTCTTCTCAAAAATAAATAAAAACATTTAAGTTTTTAAAAAATAAATAAATAAAAGATAGACTTTTAAGTAACCCTTGGACTGTCCCCTTCCCCCTTCATTCTTGCCTTCTGCTATGCCTGTTGACTGAGCCTACAGCTACTTTGGGGTTTTGCCACGCAGACTGGCTTTTTGCTGCATTTCCCTCTATATTTTCTAAGCTATTGCTTCTTTGCTCTCTTTAATCTATCAGCAAGTTTTCATTCCTTCCCACACCACAGAAAGTTCTTCTTTCCATTCTCTTCATCTTTATGGGTTGATTGCTTTCTTGTCATTGAATAGACTCTTGGGAGGTGGGAGATTTAGATTTTTGTGTTCAGTCTGCCATCTTGAATCACAAGTGAAAACTTCATTACCTTTCTAAAGGACAGACGATGTTACAGATTATCTAACAGTTCTCTCCATTAACTACGACCCTTGAGGTGGAAATCATGCTGAATATGACTATTTTCCAATATCCTGACCTTCAGTCTACCTGCCCTTTGTATCTTAACTACACTGGCCAGATCACAGAGGCTAAAATAGGCCTGTTGACTACTAAAAGTAATCCTTTGTTGTCTACTGTCATGTTCAGAAAATTATTTGAAGTTTAGCTTATGAACTTTTATATTGTTTTGACTTGGTCTTGCATTTCTTTAACATTTACTAAATCTACTTCAGCAGTAGAGATGACTAAGACATATGGTAGGAAACAGATACCACTTGACTAAATGTGAAAGATTTAGGTTATTATTATGATACTGTCAGGTAAATAACTTTTATATCTGACAATGTTTTAGTGGTCCATGTTAATAGTATTTCCTACAATGTGCGGTGGGATACTAGTCCTGTGAAATAATCTCTTGGAAAAAGAGTGATGTGGTCAGTAAGTGGGGAAAACATAGCATTCTTTATTCTTTTTCTTGGAATGAATGCATTATGCTTATGCTTACAATAAGAGTTTTAAGAGTCCTGTGGTTTAAAAAGATCTGTTCAACTTTATAAATTTAGTTTTTGCCTCCACAGCAGTCATCTCTACATGTGTTGGGTTTTTCTTTCATTTAGTTTTGTTCAGGAGGTGCCAGTACACGTAATGCATTTTAATTTGAGAGCGGAATAACCTCAGAGAGTGGGAAAGAGGTTTTATCATAGCTAACCTTACCTATTCCACAAGAAGGCTTTTGCAACTTGCTGTGTTTGACTGGCAAAACCAATGGACATGTTGGTTTTTGAAAGTCACTCCTCTGAGTGCTCTTAGTGTCATAAGGTGGTTGGAAGGGGTGTTCCATTCCTTTACTGTGCGACCACCAGTCACCCTTTAAGGGAAAAAAATTGGAAACACAAAATTGGATACTGTAGAACATTTTCATGTGCTGCTTGATATCTGTGAATATTTAGTAATTCAATCCAATAAGCTTTTGGATATTCTAGTACGAAATGGAATTCTGAAATCTAGGAGTAAGTATATTTTTTCAAGGACTTAAATTTTTAAATGGTACTTAAAAGTGAATTATCACGTATTTTTAGCTAAAATATAGCTGCTAAATTCTTAAGGTACTTTCTATCAACAGATGGAGTGGTAAAAATCAACCAAGTAGTTATACTTCTATATGTTGTACTACCATTTTATTATATATATGTATATACATGTGTATATATGATTTAATCTAAAAATTATGTTCTATACTTTTCATTATGAAAGTACAAATAATGTATTATCATCTAAGATGTTGGTTTTCATAGTTTTTAGTCTGTGATCAACACCATGAAATATACCTCATATCATATAAGAGCACACAATGCATACACATACATAAAACTAAGTTTTACAAGACAACACTTATTCTTACTATATGCTTGACTATTTCTCTATTTTATCGTTTATCTCTTCTATTTCATTTCACAATGCTAGTTGCAACCCACATTGATTTATAATTCACTAATGCCTCAGTTTGAAAAAAACTTTGTTCAAAGGAAAAATACCTCCAATGTTACTGAATTTTTGATGGTAAAACCTGCCTTAGGTACCCAGGAAAGGGAGAATTGATCGATTCTCTGTTAGTACATATTACAATCTGATCTCTTAGAAGTTGTGAAAACAGTGAGTGGAACCGTTACTCCACTTAATGCTAACTAAATATGTATTTTTTAAATCTAGTTGATCAGTTAGACCCAAGACAACCTTGAGAGAAAACAACTGTGACAACCAGGAGTTCTTGGATATTATTAGACAACGAAAGTAACTTTGGGTATAATCAGACACCTACCTTGGGCTTTGAGGAAAGAGATCAGGCTTTTAAAAAATCAACCATGATGTTATAGTCAGAGGCTTTAAAAATATGATTCAAGGGGGATGAATATGAGATTCAAATAAGTAAAATTCTGACAGTGCAATTGAAGCTACATTGATATAAAAAGTAAGAGGCATTTGAAAACATCTATCTGGCTCCATAGGGAGTAAGCTCCCAGCTTAGTTTCTAAAAAGACAGGCATGTGTAAAAGAGGTACACAGTATCAAATTTTAAAAAATAATAATTTCATGGAGTCAACTTGTCAGGAGATTGTCAAGAAGCTTAGATAGAAGAAATTCATGAAATATGCCAAAGGCAGCAAAAAATAGGGTTTTCTGTGAGAAAAAAAATCTGTTACATCAAAAAAATCACAGAAGGACTAAGAATTTGGAGAAGAGTACACAGTTCAGAGCTGAAAGTCAGAGCTACTCAACTTTAGGTTCTTCGTTAAGTGAATTATCCTCAAACTGAAAAAGACAGGATGAACGGGGACCTAAGAGGGAACTGAGCCCTGACTAATTAGAGAGCTAGACCTCCCTTGGCAACTTTAAATGAGTGCCGGTTTTTAGGCCAATAACAAATTGTAACCAGGGGTAATGAATAAGATTGCAGAGATCAAAGAAATTTAGGAAGTAGGGAATTTTGGAGACTAGGAGAGATGGGCTAATACCTCATTTTTCAGAAAGAGCTGAAAGGTGAATTATCAAAATTAAGACTACTTGATGTCGATCCTGGGAATTCTAGAACAGATTACTAAACAGATGGTGTCTTCTCACTATCTGGCTGAAAATAGTCACATCTAACTGTTGTCAGAATGCCTGCTTCTTGCAGCCCTCCTCCACTGCACAATTATCATAGTGCTTATTATGCCCCAAGGTCTAAAATTTATAGGCCTTCTCTCCCTTAGCCTTGTCACGATTCTGCAAGTAGATATACCCACTTTACAGATGAGAAAACTTTTGGGAGATTAACTTCCCCAAAGTGTATCCCTAGCAAGCAGCACAGCTGTCCAAGTCAGACCCCTGCCCCCATCTCTGCATGCCTCTAACTTCTGTGCTACACTGCTTTATCAAATCTTCTGTAGAGGGGTGCCTGGGTGGCTCAGTCAGTAGAGCGTGCAACTCTTGATTTTGGCACGGGTCATGATCCGAGGGTCGTGGGATCAAGCCCTGCATAGGGCTCTGTGCTGAGAATGGAACCTGCTTAAGATTCTCCCTCTGCCCCTCCATTGCACGTGCACTCTAATGTGCTCCCTCTCTCTCGCTCTAAAAAAAA